CCCCCCCCCCACCTTCCTCAAGCAGTTTGCTTGTTTCACTCTCATTGTCTAGATTTCCTTGTGATATTTACATTAGTTGTACCGTTGTGATGAGTTTACTCCTACTTTTACAACAATCAATCAAAGTGCACTCTAATAGGAACACATTCATTGTGTGGGTATTTGTCGTTTACTGGGCTGATGAAAGATTCATCTGGAGGATTGATTTGTTTAAGACTGATCAGTTTTGAGAAGGTAAGTTTAAGTAAGCAAAGTGACGAATTCAGCCTCAGCTACATGTCAGAAAGATAATTAAAAATATACGTAGAAAAAAAATCCTAATAATAATCATAACAACAATGATAATGATAATGATAATAATAATAATAATTGATGGTACAATAATAATAATAATAATAAAAACAGTAACGAAAGATCTAAAAATCTATTAGATCTTACTAGAGTTTTCCATGCCCTTTTGCAAACGGCTGCATGATCTCCTCAGAGCAATATGAAACCCTCACCTTTAGTGACAATCAAACCCTCAATTTTTCCCGACGTATTTTTGCGGTGTGAGGTAAGCAAAGAAAGGTAAATTGCGAATTTTTTGAAATTTTTAGACCAGAAAATCATTAAGAGCAGGTTTCACGGTAACGGGACCGATTCTGATAGCAACAGCTGACAATGACATCATAAGCATCCCTTACCCCGAAGTTACATCTTATTTACACTTACTTCTTGAGGTGACTGATTCTGTGTTCCTACGGTTGCTTGTCCTTTGTCTTTGCAGGTGGCAATAAGCGTTAGTGATATTTCTAATGCGACTGAAACTCGCTGTGACGAAGGTGAACTTTCTAAGGTAGGCATTGACATTGAGCCTACTCTCCCGCATTTGTTTTTTATCTTATTTGTCGCGCACTTTGTCTTTGTTGGGCGGTTATTAAGGAACTTTTAATGTTCTTATGAACTAAATAATTCCTAACTCATTACCAAAACAAAGATGTCTAAAATTGTTCGCAACCGTAAGTGTAGGGGTATATTCGCAGGGATCCGAATTCTAGAATCCTATTGCGCGTTTGGATGATCTACCATCCTACTGACTGACAGGATCACAGATGTCGATATCTTTCTACACAGAAATAAAATTTAACTTCTCTTGGGATTGTATATTCTGGTCGTGATTGGGTTATTGATTCAGTGAGATTTATGAAAAGGTTGGAGCAATTTTTCTATGCAGACTTATTCCTGTTATTAAGGGGTCAAAGTAATGTGTGTCGCCGGTGTAAACCTCGAAAATTGTAGAAAAAAAAATGGAATCATAATCAGTTATTTAATGCTTAAGTCTTCGAGTTAGTTTTCACACACTCCCTTGTTACTCACTGTCGTCAAAGCGAACTCAAATTCTAACCGAGGGAATTGCATCAAATACTGGAGACATTTTCGGACAATTCAAGCACAAAGTTTTTCTGTTGTAATATTTTGTCACGTTTTCCTTCTGCAGACCTATACCGGCGTGTTAGTCATAGATCGTATTTCTTCCTGTTGTCAAACCAAGACAAGTAGGAGAGAGTTTTCCAAAGTTCATTTAATCTCTGTAAATAAGAATTTACATGTTAGGTTCTCTTTTTCTACAGATTAAAAAACTAACAAATCTCAATCGACTGGGTATAAAGTCTTTGTATAGCGCTATCGAAATCAACTCTTCCCATTCTACCATACTATTCCCAACCCCAAGAAAAGTTGTCTGACACTAACGCACTTAGCTATCCGAGCTAAGTATTACGTTACGGGGAGTATTGTCACTCCTCCACTTTATGGGGTAAAAATATGTATCTCCCATCTCCATTACTCAGTATTTGCACGACAGTCACTTGATGCACACTTTGGGTTGAGAAATGGCACTTTTATACCATGCTTCTTGTCCAAGATCACAGCATAATAACCCATTAAGCAAGGTTTGAAACGAACTATTTGACGTTAAAAATGAAAAAAGGCCCTGTAAAAACCCTTCTGATCTAATGTTACGGTTGCTCCGTAAGAAGAAATGTTAAGAAGTGAGTTAAGGTGTATTTTTTTTCTTTTTTCCGCCAAACGTCTTCGAGTCGGAAACTAAAGATTGCACCATAATCAGTGCAAAGTAGGTCCGCAATGCGTGTGGATCTTAAAAAATTGGGAGAGCAAGGTGGGACTATGTCTAATCGGACTAAACAATGAAAGCACTGATTCATTAACAATATAAGAAAACTTATAACGCATGGAATCATATTTCGATATCATCTCTAGAATGTTTTTTTTTTTGGTGAAAAAGAAAGAAAATTTACTTCGTCCTGTTCCTTCACGTGTAATCCCTCCCATAAGCCAATTTCCGTCCAACAACCCGACCCCTTACCCCTTAATAGTATTATTTTATAATTATCCACGCCCGTAATATATAGGCTCTCCCTATTTTTCTCCCTTGTCACTTCATCAAAGTCACTTGCAATCACAAACATGCTTCAAAATTTATTAAACACCCAAAATTTTCAAATACTTTGGAGAAAGTAATGAATCAAAAAAAATCATGCGAAAGGAGGAAACTATTTGAATGGCATCACGTCTTGCACAACCCCTCGCTAAAACACAGGTAAAATGCAACGGAGCGGCAAGGAAAACTACAGTGAGTTCAGTAATTTAAAACTTGCAAGAGCTTTTAGCCGCTTTTAGTGACACATTTACTGGAAAGGACGCAAAACCAGCAAAACTAAGGAGGCTCTGTACGCTACATTACAAACAAATCAATGGGTCACTCTTCTCAAAAAGTTCAACCGGCTAAGGAGATCCCATAATCCCTTTCATTCTCAGGACTGCTCTAAACGAAAATTCTCCCAACAGGATCGAGAAATTTTCAAGTAAGAAGGTGATGAGAAAAAGAGTAAAAATTTCCAATTTAGCGATGCGAAGCACCAAATTGCAACGCTGTCCTAATTATCGAGATAACACACACCGTTGCAAGATTACCGAGGTTAGTTAATGCCTCTAGAAAACGTTTGCAAAGTCCACTGAATTTCTATGCATGATTGAATTCAGTTGTTAGCTTCGTCTTACTTAGAATTTCAAAACACTACTAGCATGAAATCGTTGGTCATGCGGGCAAAATGTCCTGTAGGAGTGTGGTCGTAATTTGTTCTGTCATCTGCAACCGTGTGAGAAGGTTGGCATAGGAGCTACGGACAGTAAGATTGGGTTTCTCCCGGTAGCTTTTATAAATGGGGCCCTTTAAGAGAGGCCGAAGACTGTTCCTCATTTACGTGCCGTGAGCCTACACAAGCAGAAACTTATTCCGACAAGCGTGTGTTTAAAAAAAAATTCCATGGGCTCCATTTTCCTCGCGTAACTGTTATTCAAAGAGGGAAAAAGAGAAAAAAAAGAAAAATAAGAAAAAATAATTACCACTCCGCCCCTAGAAACAGAATAAATAACTCATTGAAAGGCTTCAAAGGCTACACATATAAATCTGAATAGGACGGAGAGGGTGAAGGCTCATTAGGAGACTGATCCCTCCCCTAGGTCTCGTTTTATGCATGATTAGCGATGTGACGTGTCAGCCGCACTCAGCTAGCTCACAGCTTTTTCAACTAGACATGGATGTTCAACAGCTGTTCACAAATCTCAAGAAGGAAGCCGAGTGTCCACTGTGCCTAGAAACAGTCAAAGATCCTAAGACACTACCATGTTTGCACTCATTCTGTCTGCGGTGTATCGACAAACACGCAAGATATGCAAGAAGAAAGTTAGAAACGACGATCAAATGTCCAGTCTGTCAGGCTTGCTTTCAGATCCCTGAAGGAGACACGTTTGGTAGCCTTCCCACATCTTTTCATCTCAACCGATTGGTGGATCTCCTCGCTCTGAGAGATGGCAGCCACGAGTCTCAGAGATGCAGCAGTTGTGAAGAAAACAACACGGCGACTTGCTACTGCTTTGTTTGCCAGACCTTTCTTTGCAAGGATTGTTTTAACGCTCATCAGCGCCTGAAAGCCACAAGAGGTCATCGCAATGTTTTGATCGAAAATTTGCAAGCGCAAGATGTGGAGGAGTTGATGCACAGGCCCGCCATGTGTGCAAAGAAATATCACGAGAATGAACCGCTTGATTACTATTGTCAAGACTGTAGCGTTTGTATTTGCCACAAGTGCAGTATAGTGAGTCATAATCGACATTCTTTAGTAGACTTACAGGAGGCTGCCGAAGAACAAAAGATGCAAATGACACAAGTTTTTGCCAGAGTTAAGGAAAAACTTGTTACAGTGCAATCTAAGATATCGGAGCAAACTGAACTGATGAAAAAAAGCGAAGAAGAAATCTGCATCGCTGAAGAGAAGGTTACGAAAACTGTGCAAGAAATTATTCGAGTTGCGAAGGA